ACTCTTTCCTTATGACTGTTTCCTGCCAAAAGGAAGCTGCGTTCCCACTTATACTGGCTTATAAGTATCCAGTACTTGAGTGTCTCCAAAACCCCGTCCGTGCTGGCTCTATCACTCTACCACACCTGCCGTTAGAAAGCAGCTGCTACCCTGACATCTGTTTCCTCCACTGTTTGTTGTCTTCTGCGTTATCCTGTAGGGATTTAGGGAGCAGGCTAGTGCGGGCTTCTAGCCAGTCTTATTTCACAATGTTTTTCAGTTGGGCACTTTAAAAAAGAAAACAAAAAAGCTGCTGTCATGATCTGTTACTGCAAGTGATTGCCATGAACATACAGATTGATTTGGGTCTTTCTGTAGCAAAAGAAAACGAAGCACTTTTTTTTTTTTTTTTTTTTGAAGTTCAGTTTCCCTTTCTTGCTGCCAGTGCTGTGTTGCTGGTGTGGTGCCAGAGTCCTGTGGGGAGAATCTGCTACCACTTCTTGTTTTCTGCTGGTGTCTTTCATCCGCTTTTCTTAGCTCACAGATGAAGAGTTCTTCTGTCACGAAAAGCCCCCAGAACTCAGACCAGTGTGGTTTCTGCTGATACAAGCATTGCTGTGTAGCACACAGTGCATGGTTTGTCCTTAGGTGAATCTGCCATACAAAGAAGAACCAACCCTCGAGCTGGGTTGAAGCTTAAACTGTGTAGATGAAGTCCAGATGGAGCAACATTTTCCTAAATCCTGTTCTAGATTCCAGGCGGTTGGAGCGAGTGCTCCCACAAAGGCTGGGAATGCTGTTCTGTAAAGGTGCTTTTGGAACTTATATACATTAAAAGATTTGAGTCTAGTTCTGCTTTCCAGACAGTGACACTTGTCCTCTAGGAGGGCTCCTACTTCTAAAGATCAGGTGTTGCGGGTTCACGTCTCGTAGTTTCGTTGGTTTGTGACATTATATGAATTATGGCTTTGGGTCATACAGTCCCAGTGTTTCCTTCGTGTTTTACAGAATGAGGTTCTACTGGATCTATAAATTATAATTTGGAAGAAAATTTAGAATCCTGTGTGTCTGTGGAATGGGGAGTTTTATCTAGCTTTCGTTAAATTATAATCTGTACGTGAACTTTTAACACACTTCTGGCACCTGTCATGACCCCTGTTCCATTTCATCCTTTGCCTCCAGGTTAGATGTGCGTGAGAATCACACAAATAAGTCAGTTCTCATTCCCACCACGTCCCCGTAGTTCTCTTCTAATGGGTATTCCTTTTTGAAGGAATCACTGCACGTTCTGTGTTAGGTACATATTGAGAGCACAGCCCAGGGAGCAGGCCCAAGCACTGCCTGCTGGTTGGCCTGCACTTGGCCAATGTCTGCTGCTGGGATTAGGTCTCTTGCTCAGCTGCACTGTTTTAAGAGCAGCTCGTGCTTTGCAGATTGCCTTGCAGCAGGAGATGATGCCTGTTCAGGGAGGTGTCCGTGGATGCCTTGGTTGTCCAGCACTGACCGGGTGAAGGCAGCCCAGAAGCAGGAGGAATACTTGATGGTACAAGATAGCTGGGTGTCAGTCTGGGTATGATGCGTCTGTTGGGGCTGAGCTGCCGGGAGGTGTGCAGTAAGCTTTGCAGCTCACCCTGCACGTTACCGATTGCCGACCTCTGGGCTTCTGGCCAATTAGTTTGAGATGTGAAGGAATTTGGGCTATGTTGCTGTGCGGAGCTGCTTCCCAGACTTCATGCCGAGCTGGAGGGTTGTGAGTGGGCAATACGAGGGTAGGGAGACACTGGGACAGGTTGCCCAGAGAAGCTGTGGATGCCCTATCCCTGGGAGTGTCCAAGGCCAGGCTGGATGAGGCTTGGAGCAACCTGGTCTAGTGGAAGGTGTCCCTGCCCATGGCAGGGGGTGGCACTGGGTGATCGTTAAGGTCTTTTCCATCCCAAACCATTCTATGATTCTGTGATTAATACTTGTTTTCAAAGTGGAAATGTTGGTGGGTCTGACGTTTTGCTCTGCCACAACTCTGCCTTTCCATCACTGTCAAGTTTTTTCATTCACCAAAAAGGTACCTGGCTTGTTTTCTTTACATTATTGGGTAGGCAAGTCATTAGCAATTATTTCATCAGGCCTGCAGAAAGCTAGGCTCATCACATTACTTCTCAGTGTCCTTTTGGTGTGCCTTTTCTTTCTTTGTGTTCTACATAACTGTTTACCTTTTCAGGAACAGAGATTCTTATTTTTGTAGCTGAGTATGTGCTTCAGTTCAAGGAGGTGAAATGCTCTCTGTTCTACTAGTCATAGACTGCCTACTGTTTCTTAAGTCCCGAGAATGACTTGTCACACTTGAAAATCTGGGATTCTCGTCCTACTCTGTGATGCTAGTGGACAGCTTTCCACTCACTCCTCTTAGCATTGGTCTTCTGCTCCAGTTCCTGAGTAGATCTCATGCTGCTGTTCATTCAGGAGTCTCTTGCAATCTATTCTGTTCACTACACTGATAGATCCTTCAGCAGGGGGATGGATATTGGTGGTTTGTTTCACTTTATCCTGCTGTGGGGAGAAGTGGGATGTTTTCCAGATTCTGGGCACATGTACAGTGACTGAACAGCCTGAAAGGGATTCATGAGCATGGTTTTCACCCTTCTCTAAAAAGGACATTTATTCTACATCTGACCACTCCTCTGCAGTATGTGGTTTGTGTTTTGTAAGTGCCCTACAATATGGCAAATATGGGGAAAAAAAAGCTTTACTCATCGGGAGTCTTAAAATATCAGCAGCTGGGCTGAGGGAGCAATTTGCACATTCATACATCAAATGAGTGTGCACCTGCAGGGTACTGTGCTCCCTCTCCTTCCCTAGCCCTCCTCTTCAGGAGCTGGCAGGAAGTGGAAATTGATGGAAGTCTTGCTCTCCAAATACTTCACGTTCTAATTGAGCTCAGGTCCCCGCTGGAGTCGCTGGAGTGGAGCCAGAAGGAAGAGGCGCTGTCATCACGCGCACGCTAATGATGCACATACAGCCAGCGCCCCGCTGCTGTGGCTGAACGTGGCTCTTTGTGTGGTTGACGTGTTCTGAGAGAAAGGAGGACTCAGAAACGTTTCTGACTGCTTTAGACACAGGATTGATATCAGGGCTGAGGTGTCTTCACGCCTCTGAACAGCCAGCATTCAGGCGGTTTGGACCGTACCCGTGAGGTTACAGTTTCTGAACGTTTGAGAATTTAAATACCTCCAATAATGTTTTGAAAACCAGACTTCTGTGTGTGTGTGATGTCATTGATCAGCAGGTACAAGCTTTTGGAGTCCAAATTAGAATCCACGCTGAAGAAATCTCTTGAAATAAAAGAAGAAAAAATTGCTGCTTTGGAGGCTCGTTTAGAAGAATCAACAAATTTAAACCAGCAACTCCGTCAGGAACTTAAAACAGTAAGGGGACGGCATTTTTCATGTGGGATTAAGTTACACCTGTTCCAGCCACTGTTACTTCTGCCCTTGACCGTCTGTGTAAGACAGCAACCATGGGCGTTGCGGGGGCAGTGTGAAGCGGGCCAGAGGTGTTCTCGTGCCTCTTTAAGGCTCCAGGAATACAGGCCCAGTGTTGGAATCCCGTGAGAAGTTGTTTATTTATCGAATGTGTCAGGTCGGTAAATAATCTGAAGTCGATTCGTTTTGGGATGCCAAAGGTTTAGTTCCATTTTCTGATCCAGCCTGAGTGTACTGGCTAAAAATTAAACGCAACCTCCTTGGTTGTAGGACTTCATAATAACAGTGCAGTTGGGGTGATACAGCTGAAAGCACTGAAATGGACTAGAAAATAGAGGGCTCTTTCTGTTAGACACGTGTTTGTTAGGGTTAAGCTGTCCATATCCATAAATAATTTGTACATCGTCTCTCCAAACATACACAAAAAAGCACGCTGACAAATCCAGTAACAAAGCACTGCCCGCTCTCTGAAAAGCGGTTTGGTCGTGTGGTAAATTCGGGTGGAGAGTATGGAAAATTCTAAACCTAATGGAAGTTGTCCTGAACAATTCTAGGTGAAAAAGAACTACGAAGCTCTCAAGCAAAGACAGGAAGAGGAAAGGATGGTTCAGAATTCTCCTCCAAGAAGTGGAGAAGAAAATCAATCTGTCAATAAGTGGGAGAAGGAGAATCAAGAAACTACCAGAGAATTACTGAAAGTTAAAGATAGATTAATCGAAGTGGAAAGGAATGTAAGATGTCTGTTAAATATTACTCTGATTGTAATTACTTATTGCGAGCCGTTCCAGTAATAGGAACGGGAGTATCGCTGGGAAGGTATGCGGTACAGCACCTAGGTCACGTGCCGAGCAGAGTCTGAACTGAATTCCCGGAGAGGGTGGGGAGGCACTGGGACAAGTTGTCCAGAGAAGCTGTGGATGCCCCATCCCTGGAAGTGTCCAAGGCCAGGCTGGATGAGGCTTGGAGCAACCTGGTCTAGTGGAAGGTGTCCCTGCCCATGGGTGGGACTGGGTGGGCTTTAAGGTCCCTTCCAACCCAAACCAGTCTGTGATTCTAAATGCAGTTTATGAAGCAGCTGGATGCTGCTCTGGGGGATGTAAAACGCTTGTCCAGCATTTCAAAGGAAATGTGGAAACCTGAACTTGCCCTTTTGAATGCACAGATACCTCTTAAATCCCTCTTATATAAATCTATTGACATGAGGCTTGGAGATTTCTCCACTCTTTCTCCATGGGTACCATACTAGTCACTCAGGTTTGCAGCGCTAACCTGGAGTGATAACATCACCGCGTGTTACTCTGTTATGCAAGGGGATTGACCTTATACCTCTTCCACCCTGTAAAGTCCTGCTGCCTTGTTTGTTTTGGAGAAACAGGTTTGGGGTTTTTTTCTGAACTTCAGTAAACAGCTGGAAACTCAGATTTTCTGTTTTTTCTTCAACGTTCCAAGAATGCTACGCTGCAGGCGGAGAAGCAAGCGCTGAAGACGCAGTTAAAGCAACTCGAGACACAGAACAGCAATCTGCAGGCTCAGATTCTTGCGCTTCAGAGACAGACTGTTTCTCTGCAGGAGCAAAATACAACTCTGCAAACGCAGAATGCCAAGCTGCAGGTAATATTCTCCGGGTTTGCACTCAGAAATAAAATCAAGTCGAAGTTGTTTCAAATGAATGCTTTTAAGCTAAGGGCAATAATGTATTGTAAGTCACATTTTGTGGGAAATCAAGATGTTGGTAAGTACAGAAGGCTTAAAAACCCCCTCTGAAAGCTACATAATCGTGGGAGGATTGAATTCAGGTGATGCAGAGGCAAGTAAAGGTAATGTGTGACCGTGAAAATTATAAAAATGGTTGCCCACAAAATCTTGCACCTCTTATGGCCACAATTCAGATGTCGTTCGTCATACTTCAACAGGGTTATTAAATACACCTCTCTGGTTTTTCTCTGATAAATTAAATATTGTTGTTAATGGAGCTAATGCTTTTTGGAGCTCTGAGAATCAAACCTACTTAAGGATTTTTTTTTGAATAGTAAACAGTGTCAGAAGTGATGAAGGGTGGATGGAAATCAGAGAGAAGGAGTCTTTAACGAGTAAACAAATACTGCAGTTTGTCATCCCGTCTCTTTCTGGAAGGCAGGACACAGTTGTGCCACAGATGCACTTCCTGTCACCACATGGAAATCTCATTAGTGCACAGAACTCCCTTTGTGGCTGGCAAGCTGGTCGGCAAAACAGAACATTCGTGCACGTGCTCTCTCTTCTCTGGCCGTTAGAACTTGGTGGATGTGGAAAATAACATATTAAACAGATGAGGATGTATCTCTGGGACGCAGAACTCTCTATTTTGTAATACCACTTGTCAAAAACCCCAGGAATACCTGTGTAGTGTGGGTTTTGTGCTGTGGATTGCACAACAGCACAGGCCTTTCCTCCCTGGTAAACATGGAGAGTGAGTTAACTGTAGATATTTGACAGAATGGAGGCAGTGAATTGGGAGGAGGAAGTGTTTTCTGCCCTTTTTTTGTTTGGGTTTTTTTGTTTTGGGTTTTTTTCGTTGGCTTTTTTCTGTGGTGAACCTTGCCGAGCAGTGTGTTTTTTGTTGTGGGGGGTGACTGAAGTGTGCTATACCCACCAGACTGCGAAAGGGAGTTGTTCTTGCTGGAGAAGTCGGCCGTGTTGCTCACAGCTTCAGCTGCAAGACAACTCTTCATCAGCTCCAAATCAAAAGGAGGGGTGAAATGTGCTCATGAAAACACGGGTGATTAACTAAATCTGAAGTGCCAACTCAGCTGGTCTGCGTGGGCTGTGTCAAAACCGATCTTAGACAATTGCAATTCTGCTCTTCCTTCCGATCCGCATAAGGAACATAGAAGAGAAAGGGTGTCTTAGAGGATAACTGGGAATCGTGAACCAAACCAAACTGGGAATTCAGTCTGGGAAGTTGCTCAGCGTACACTTGCCACCAGACATTACTTCATTCCCAGTGAAAGGTTCAGCCTTCTCGTCTGTGACGAAGAATGCTGCAGTTCCAACAGAAAGGGATTTGTTCCTTAGTAGCAGCGGGCACTGCAGGGATGGATTTTTTTTTTTTCTTTCTTTTTTCCCCCTAATAGACACCCTGAGGGTATTATCAGCCTCAGAAGTTTGTAGGTTTTGTCTCTTGAACAGGAAAGAGAAGGGAACCAGCCCAATACAGGTCAGATGATGAGCACATTGGGTATCGTCAATTTTTTTAAGATAACCAAGGATTAGAGTAGATTAATCTTTCCATCCAGAGGTGCACAAAGTGTTGTTGTGTTTTTCCTTTAATCCGTCTCATGTTGAAGGCTTTAATGTATGAAATAGGCATTAAGACTGTTGTGACATAATTGTTGGAGAAACTGTACTCTCCTACTCACCTCTTTCTCCGATGGATGAGTACTCTCACCGGGTCTCGCAGCAGGTACATCACGTTGTTCAGCTGAATGGCAGTGCCTCAGTAAACCAGAACATGGGTACCTCCTTCCAGGTGCTGTGCTTTTAGTTCCCTTTCTCTCTCCTGAATGGGTGCTGCTGTTGGAAGTCTCCTTGTAAAGGATATGTAGGCACAATAAGGATTTTGTGGTGACGATGAAGATTTTTTAAAAAAATTGATGTCAGTATGAAAGTTCCTTTTATTTAGGCATGTCTTATGTGATCTGAGGGTCACTGGTGATCCATTTCTCTGGATGCTAGAGCTGTCAGTGCTGAGAGGAAAATGTGCCTCATCTAGATAGCACTTTAACAGCTATTTGAGGGTAAATAATAATAATTTGATGCCTCCCCCTGTCAATTTAACCATATGCTTAAGTGCTTTCTTGCAATACTGCTATAAAATGTTCTCGGGATATTTTGAATTGGAGATGTCTGTTGGGATATAAGGAAAAAGTATTCCCATCAGTGGCTGTCAGCTGATGGAGCAGGTAGGTTGCGAAGATGCAAAGGGTTAAACTCAGGAAATAGAAGGAGATAGACAAAATAATCCAGACTATGAAACTGATTTTCAGCTCTTGTCAAATGTTTACAACTGCAGGTTGAAAATTCCACCCTTAATTCTCAAAGCACATCGCTGATGAACCAGAACGCGCAGCTGTTGATCCAGCAGTCCGCCTTAGAGAACGAAAACGAGTGCGTGCTCAAGGAACGGGAGGATCTGAAGTCGTTGTACGACTCCCTTCTCAAAGATCATGAGAAACTGGAACACCTGCACGAACGCCAGGCTTCCGAGTATGAATCTCTGATCGCAAAGCATGGAAGTCTTAAGTCTGCACACAAAAATCTGGAGGTGGAGCATAAGGACTTAGAAGATAGGTAAGTGCTGATCTGCATGAGTGAAATTAGAGTCTCATTCCTGAGTAAAAAGGAAAAAACGCTGTACAACTAGTATGAATAACATTAATATTACTTAAAATACAACATGAAGATGTTAAAACTTTGAAAGATCACCTCTTCAGAAAAAAAATCCCTTTTGTCATTCCAAGAAAAAGAACTTCAGTACTTTGGTTTTGTTTGCAGGTACAACCAGTTGCTGAAACAGAAGGTGCAGCTGGAAGAGTTGGAGAAAGTACTCAAGCTGGAACAGGAGAAAATGTTCCAGCAAAACGAGAAACACGAAAGTGTAGCAGCAGAGTATAAAAAACTTTGTGATGACAATGAAAGGTAAAGGCCAAGTCGGAGGCGTGTATGAGCAGCGGGCACCTGCCGGGACCGGCTG